CCAAATAATGTTGGGGTTAAAGTTCTCCTTGGTATTATTTAGTGCAGAGATTTTCAAAAAAAGGTGGTTTTTTTTAATAACTGGGAATGAATATGAAGGACCTCTTTTTGACTCCCTGACGGGTTTCCTTGAAAGAGTCTCCTGATTATCTCCCACATAATGACAGAAAGAATTCAGTCCCACCATGGATTGGTGGGAGGATCAATTTGTTCCACAAGCAGAACTTGGCACTTGTGTGGAAGTGTATCAACAGCTAAGCCAGCATTGCAAGGGGTTGACAGTAAAATGATCGAAAATGATTCAATAACCCTAAACTGGAGATAGAAGACAATGCAGATCAGTTACTCTTTTGGAGATGATCATTGTAGATCCTCAATACTATTTTATTTTCAGGTCTTGCACATATGCCCAGTTTAAAAGCTTGGTTCCAGTAGTGAAGGATAAAGCACAGAGCAGAAGTGAAGGACAGATAAGCAGAGGATAAAAATCAGCAATACCCCCTTTTACTTTAATACCCCCATAACAAAATACAGCTGTGGAAACACAAGAAGACTGAGATCAGAACAAAGTCTCCCTTTGCATTTCTGAGGTTGAGGAAAAAATGAATAATGTTATAACTAGATAACTCATCAATGATGACTGAAATTGTTTACTGCAAATATGTGCATGAACAAAAAAGTCTTACAAGTTTTCCTTCAAATGGAAGAGAGAAACGCTGGCAGATCTTGAGAGAATTTCAGTACTTTTTACAAAGTAATGTTAGTCATACCTTTCCAGATCTTGAATTCTCACACACGTAAGTCTCATAGTATTCTGCAAATTCTGGTGCATATTCATTTGCATCAAGAACTTTAATATAAACATTTACTTCTGACATTTGTTTTGGGTTTACTAAATCAAAAGAAAACAAAATTTTAAAAGCACATCAGATTGGAAAGTCAACAGCTTGTTCTCTATTGTTAAAAGTTCTTTCTCTCTCTCTCTCTCTATCTTCAAAAATCCCTTCTAAAGAACATTGTAATCCTTGGATTTTAATAAAAATATCATGTACATCTATATCCCACATTAATGTATGTCACAAAATAATCATTATAAAAGCAATAATGAAGTATTTTTCTAGATCATTATGTTTTGTATATTATATTATTATAGAGAAGCTTCAATAATGATAATGTAAGAGATGATTCTTAAATGATCTAGTACAACCTTGTGAAGTATAAACTTTAATTCAGGGATATTCTTATTTGATTATTGCCATTAGCAGTTAAGCACAGCAAATAATAATGTTCATATTCCCTTATGACTTTGGAAACCATATATTTTTGGAAGAAGGAAGGGAGGGAGGGAGGGAAGGAAGGAAGGAA